AAGAATGTCTCCCATTCTGCCAGTTGCTTCTTCATGTCGTGGAGTGTTTCTTTTGCAGGGTCAAATTAGTCTATTTTTGCTGTGATTCCCTGTGTTTCTTGTGTCTTTTCCAAGAAGTCTTTGCCTATGCCAATGTCATGCAGAGTTTCCCCAGTGATCTCTAGTAATTTGATGGTATCAGGTCATAGATTTAGGTGTTTGATCTATTTTGAGTGAATTTTTGTGTAAGTGTCTAGTTTTTGTGTAAGGGGGTCTAGTTCCATAATTCTGCATGTGAAAATCCAGTTTCCCCAGGACCATTGTTCAAGAGACTGTCCTTGCTCGAGAGATTGATTTTAGTTCCTTCATCAAAGATGTTGGTTGTAGATGCATGGATGATGTCTGGAGTTTCTATTCTGTTCCATTGGTATACACATCTATTTTTTTTTCCAGTACCAGGTAGTTTTGATAATAACTGCCCTGTAGTATGTCTTGAAATCTGGTATTGTGATGCCTTCAATTTGTGTGTGTCTTATAAAATTGCTTTAGCTATTCAGGGTCTCTTTTGTTTCCATATGAATGTTAGCATCATTTTTTCTAGTTCTGAAAAGAATGTCCTTGGTATTTTCATTGGTATTGCATTGAATCTGTAAATTGCTCTTGGTAGTATGGACATTTTGATGATACTGATTCTTCCAATTCATGAAAATGGAGGTTTTTCCATTTTTTTATCTCCTTCCATTTCTTTCTGGAAGGTTTTGTAATTTCTATCATAGAGGTCTTTAACCTCCTTGTTTAAATTTATTCCAAGGGATTTAATTGTTCTTGTACCTATTGTAAATGGAATTGATCTTAGAAGTTCTGTCTCAGCCATGACATTGTCTTCATATAGAAAGGCTATTCATTTTTGTGTGTTAATATATTATCCTGCCACTTTACAAACTCTTTTATGAGTTCCAATAGTCTCTTAGTGATTCTTTGCTTCCCCTATATATAGAATCATGTCATCTGCACATAGGTATAGTTTGACTTCCTTCTTCCCAATTGGCATCCCTGTAATTTCTTTTTCTTGGCTAATGACTCTGGTTGAAACTTTATTGAATAGCAGTGGTGAGAATGGGCATCCTTATGTTTCCAGACCTTAGTTGCAATGCTTCCAACTTTTCCCCATTCAATAAGTTACTGGCTGTGGATTTGTCATATATTGCCTCGATTCTGTTGAGGAGTGTTCCTTCCATACACAATTTGCTTAAGGTTTCCATCAAGAAAGGGTGTTGTATTTTATCAAATGCTATATCTGCATCTATTGAGATAATCATATGGCCTTTGTTTTTCAGGTTGTTAATGTGATATATATCACACTTATTCATTTGTATATTGAACCACTCCCTGCATACCAGGAATAAATCCCACTTGATCTGGGTGATTGATCTTTCTGATGTGTTGCTGGATTCAATCAGTATTTTGTGGAGGACTTTTGCATCTATGTTCATCAAAGATATTGATCTATAATTCTTTTTTTTTATTTTTTTATTTAGTAAATATAAATTTCCAAAGTACAGTTTATGGGTTACAATGGCTCCCTCCCCATAATTTCCCTCCCACTCGCACCCCTCCCATCTTCCGCTCCCTCTCCCATTCCATTCACATCAAGATTCATTTTCAATTATCTTTATATTCAGAAGATCAATTCAGTATATATTAAGTAAAGATTTCATCAGTTTGCACCCACACAGAAACACAAAGTGTAAAATACTGTTTCAGTACTAGTTATAGCGTTACTTCACATTGGACAATACACTAAGGACAGATCCCACATGAGAAGTAAGTACACAGTGACTCCTGTTGTTGACTTAACAATTTGACACTCTTGTTTATGGCATCAGTAATCTCCCTAGGCTCTAGTCATGAGTTTCCAAGGCTATGGAAGCCTTTTGAGTTCGCCGACTTCGATCTTATTCTGACAGGGTCATAGTCAAAGTGGAGGTTCTCTCCTCCCTTCAGAGAAAGGTACCTCCTTCTTTGATGGCCCCGTTCTTTGCACTGGGATCTCACTCGCAGAGATCTTTCATTTAGGTCTTCTTTTTTTCTTTTCCAGAGTGTCTTGGCTTTCCATGCCTGAAATACTCTCATGGGCTCTTCAGCCAGATCTGAATGCCTTAAGGGCTGATTCTGAGGACCAGAGTGCTATTTAGGACATCTGCCATTCTATGAGTCTACTGTGTATCCTGCTTCCCATGATGGAGCATTCTCTCCCTTTTTGATTCTATCAGTTAGTATTAGCAGACACTAGTCTTGTTTGTGTGATCCCTTGGACTCTTAGACCTATCAGTGTGATCAATTGTGACCTGAAATTGATCACTTGGACTAGTGAGATGGCATTGGTCCATGCCACCTTTATGGGATTGTATTGGAATCCCCTGGCACGTTTCTAACTCCACTTTTTGGGGCAAGTCCAATTGAGCATGTCCCAAATTGTACATCTCCTCCCTCTCTTATTCCCACTCTTATATTTAACAAGGATGACTTTTCAGTTAAAATTTAAACACCTAAGAATAATTGTGTGTTAATTACAGAGTTAAACTGATAGCTAGTGATCCTGAACATTTTTTCATGTGTCTGTTGGCCATTTGGATTTCCTCTTTTGAAAAATGTCTATTGACGTCCTTGGCCCATCTCTTAAGTGGGTTGTTTGTTTTGTTGTTGTGGAGCTTCTTGATTTCTTCATAGATTCTGGTTATCAACCCTTTATCTGTTGCATAGTTTGCAAATATTTTTTCCCATTCTGTCGGTTGCCTCTTCACTCTCCTGACTGTTTCTTTTGCAGTACAGAAACTTCTCAATTTGATGCAATCCTAATAGTTGATTTTGGCTTTGACTGCCTGTGCCTCCAGGGTCTTTTCTAGGAAGTCTTTGCCTATACCTATATCTTGCAGGGTTTCTCCAATGCTCTCTAATAATTTGATGGTGTCAGGTCGAGGCTTGCAATCCCTGTGGGGGAAAACAAAAAAGCTCACCAGGCTAACTAGAAGAGAGAAGGAAAAAAAAAAGTGACCGATACGGACACGAGTTTCTCTCTCTCCACTCACCTCTCAAAAGGCGAGCAAGACAAAGAGCATGCACCATTTTGGACTTATGTCATAAGCAGGGCGACCTCAGGTCTGCACCAGCCCAGGAGTGGAATGGCTAGATCATATGGTAGGTCTATATTCAGATTTCTGAGGTATCTCCATACTGTCTTCCACCTTGGCTGTATCAGTTTACATTCCTACCGACAATGGACCAGGATACCTTTCTGCCCGCATCCTCACCAGCATTTGTTGTTTGTTGATTTCTGTATGAAAGCCATTCTAACTGGGGTGAGATGGAACCTCATTGTAGGTTTGATTTGCATTTCCCTGATGGCTAGTGATCCTGAGCATTTTTCAAGTGTCTGTTGGCCATTTGTTTTCCTCTTTTGAAAAATGCTAGTCTAGTTGCCGGTGCCATGGCACAGTACATTAACCCTCTGCTTGAGGCACCGGCATCCCAAATGGGCGCCCGTTCTAGTCCCAGATGCTCCTCTTCCAATCAAGCACTCTGCTGTGGCCTGGGAAAGCAGTAGAAGATGGCCCAAGTCCTTGGGCCCCTGCACCCACATGGGAGACCTGGAAGAAGCTCCTGGCTTCTGGTTTGAGATTGGCAAAGCTCTGGCCATTGTGGCCATTTGGGGAGTGAACCAATGAACAGACGACCTTTCTCTCTGTCTTTCCCTCTCATTATCTGTAATTCTGTCAAATAAATAAATAAAAAATCTTTAAAAAAAGAAGAAAAATGACAGTCCAAGTCCTCTGCCCGTTTCTTAACTGGATTGTTTGTTTTGTTTTTATTAGGTTTCTTGAGTTCTTTAAAAATTCTGGATATTAATCTTTTATCTGTCACATAGTTTGCAAAGAATGTCTCCCATTCAGTCAGTCGCCTCTTCATGTAGCTGAGTGTTTCTTTGGCAGAGGAGAATTGGTCTATTTTTGCTGTGATTCCCTGCGCTTCTTGTGTCTTTTTCTAAGATGTCTTTGCCTATGCCAATGTCATGCAGAGTTTCCCCAGTGATCTCTAGTAATTTGATGGTGTCAGGTCATAGATTTAGGTGTTTGATCTATTTTGAGTGGATTTTTGTGTAAGTTGTCTAGTTTTTGGGTAAGGTGTCTAGTTTCATAATTCTGCATGTGGAAATCCAGTTTCCCCAGGAACATTTGTTCAAGAGACTGTGCTTGCCCCAGGGATTGATTTTAGTTCCTTCATCAAAGATGTTGGATGTAGAAGCATGGAGGATGTCTATAGTGTCTATTCTGTTCCATCTGTATACACATCTACTTTTTTTCCAGTACCAGATAGCTTTGATAATAACTGCCCTGTAGTATGTCTTAAAATCTGATACTATGATGCTTTCAAATTATGTGTGTCTTGTAAGATTGCTTTAGCTATTCAAGTTCAAGACATCAGAACCTCTGGTAGTGAAATCCAGCCATCAGAATTTTTAAAGCTCCTTAGAGGGTTTCATAAAAAGGAGCAGTGATATGCATCCTCATGGATAATGAGATCAAATAAGTTAGAAGGATATGAATAGAAATGTGCATGGAAAGTACATACAAATTATAGAAAAGACATCAATTTTAAATAACAAAAAATCAAAGTATATTTTCTTTTTCCAGGATACCTGGATCATCCATAATGAACTAGAGAAGGCTCCATAGGTACAATATGAGTCAGGTATGCAAGGGTAAAGATATAATGTTTCCATAAACAAAGAGAAAAACAGGAAATCTCAGTTACAAAAGAAGATGAATGAAAGCCATGAGAGCCTCAAGTGTGATGTGATGAGCCAGGTTAGATTTTAGTGTCTGGATGCTGAGTTTTGCTGCCTTTCCAATCTGTGCTCTAAATAGCTTGCTGACTGAGAAGTCTCCACATGGCCCTCTTGATGTCCCTGTTCCTCAGGCTGTAGATAAAGGGGTTGAGCATGGGGATGACCACAGTGTACATCACTGAGGCCACTGCACACTTCCTGGAAGAAAGTGAGGCTGCTGAACTGAGATACACCCCGAGGGGTGTTCCATAAAATGAACATACAACGTGAGAGCCACAGGTGGAGAAGGCTTTGTACTTCCCACCAGCTGATGGACTCTCAGAATGGAGGAAATGATTTTGTAGTAAGAGTGGAGAATCCCTGAGATAGGGAGAAAACCATATATGATGATGCCAACAAAATCTATGGCTGTGTCATGAGTGAAAGTGTCAGAGCAGGTAAGGGTGAGAAGCTGGGAAGGTTCACAGAAGAAATTAGAAATGTCAGCAACTTTCAAGCAGGTAGCTCTTAATACCATCAAATTCTGCAGCAGGTATTCCAAAACACTGGCCACAAAGGACCTGGAAAGTAAGAAGCCACAGCGGCAGGGGTTCATGATGACCTGGTAATGCAGTGGATGACAAATGGTGACAAACCGGTCATGGGCCATCACGGTCAGAAGCAAATCACCCATGCACCCAAAGATAATAAAGAGAGACATCTGTGTCAGGCAGCCCACATAGGAGATGGCTGTGCCGTGAGTGTGGATGTCCACAATCATCTTGGAAACCGTGGTAGAGGTGAAACCCACATCAGCCAAGGACAGGTTACAGAGGAAGAAATACATGGGGGTGTGGAGGTGGGAATCTGAGCTGATGGCCAGGGCAATGAGCAGGTTCCCAAGCACTGTGACCAGGTAAATCAAAAAGAACAGCCCAAAGATGAGAGGCTGCAGGGCTGGATCTTCTGAGAAGCCCATGAGATGAAATTCTGAGACTTGTGTGAGATTTTGTGTTTCAAAACAACCTGGACTCCTTTTGGAAAGGAAAATAGGATTGGTAAAAGGAAACAGATAAACAGGCACCCAGCACTCCATATGTCTTCAAGTCAAGTATGTATGGATATAGCATGAGGGTAACTCTAGTGTTCACAGAATAAGTTGAATTCAAAGAAAAGGGTTTTCTTGTTGTAATACAGTTGTGAAATTCATGCATTTTTTGCTTGATACAAACTTTCCCTGTAGCTTCTAGAACTCCACTTTCATATTCACACTCAGCAACCAAATTCTGTCTCCTTTCTCAGTGGTGACAACTCAATCTTCTGAGAGATATTATGATTGGTTTCTGTGCTACCTCTCTCTATGCAAAAGCTTTAAGGAGTCTCACAAATATTAGAAAGCCAAGAACATTAGACCTCACAAGTCTATGACCATAGTAAAATGCAATCTAGTATTTATGAAAAAAGTCTAATTAAAGGAACTTTAAAAACAGTTAATTTTTTTTTATTTTAAGACAATGGTACAAATTCAATGCATTCACAATTTTTATAAGTCATCTATAAAGCTATGAGTGTATTGTCTGAACCCCAAACTAAGGTTGATTCTTCACAACTAGGAAATACTGTTGTATGCCTGTTGTCTTCCAGGGATCTACTCATTCCTGGCTTTTATGACATTCCTCCCTTTTTGGATGTGTGTGCTCACTCTAATATTGTTTTAGCTCATTTTTTTTGGACAGGCAAAGTTAGAGAGAGACAGAGAGAAAGGTCTTCCTTCCATTGGCTCACCCCCCAAATGGCCACTGCAGCCAGTGCACTGCACCAATCCAAAGCCAGGAGCCAGGTGCTTCTTCCTGGTCTCCCACGCAGGAGCAGGGCCAAAGTACTTGGGCCATCCTCCACTGCCTTCCCAGGCACAGCAGAGAGCTAGACTGGAAGAGGAGCAACCGGGACAGAATCCAGCACCCAGACCAGGACTAGAACCTTGGTACTGGTGCCGCAGGTGGAGCATTAGCCTAGTAAGCCATGGCACCGGCCTTTAGCTCATTTTCTTAGAGAGCATGCTCTCATTCACTGCTTCACTCCACAGATGCCTGTGATGGCTGTGGCTGGAACAAGGTAGAGATTGCGAGTTCTTATACTCATCTCAATCCAGGTCTCCCCTGGTAGAGACTCAACCATTTGACAACTGCCTGCCAGAATCTGTATTCACAGGAAGAAAGAGTCAGGAACCAGGGCCAGTAATCAACCCTAAGTACTGTGTGGGAGCTGGCACCTTAACCACTATGCTATTTACACTCACTCCTTTTTGCCTCTTAGTGCCATTTAATATATAACTCCAGTGCTTGGCTTTGGTGGACCTCGAATTTTTGTAAAAGTCATGGACAAATACACATAGTCATATGAAATCAATGACCACCATTGGAACATTAGTGCGTTCTGTACCTGTCAATGATTAGAAACAGTGAACTGTTAAGAACTACTTGATTTTTAAAATTTTCTGCAGGTTTCCTGTATATTCCCCTTAGAATCTTAATAAATGCCTGATATGAGAGCTGATTACTTTAAACATTTCTGAATTTTTTATTATGTGTTACTTAATGGCCTGGCAATACTGCTTGATTGTTTTTCTGATCATAAACCATTTGAAGTGAGTGATATCAGGAAAGCTCCAAAGGCAGCTCTGAGTCCCAGACTTCCTATGAATAATTCAAGAATTTTTATGTCACCACTTCCTGGTACATGAATTTTTCTAACTTCAGCTGCCTAAAGACAATGCTAGTTTATTATTTTGCTAGGTTATACTGTCTTTGAATGGTGAAAAAATGTGAAACAGAATTCCAGAAAATAATGTAAAGACACTCAATAGTTACCGCCTCTGCAAAATAGCAATAATAATTATCTCCCTTATAGAGCTTCAGTTATTCTTGAGGTATAGCAAATGGTTGTGTAAACATGATGATTAATCCTATAAAGAGAAAATGTTAAAGAAAATCAGAATTCTCACTTATGGTTTAGGAAGTCCCTCTAAGAACCTAGATTATACACCTCATACTTTGGGGCTGAGACTTTTCATTTTGATCCTAGTCATTCTGGTTACCTCAACCACATTGCTGGTCCTACACTCAAAGTGACAAGGTTTCCAACATTCCCACATTCCCTCCTGCATCCTCTGTGTCCCTGAGAACTAATGGTGCTGGACTCCCTTGCTGAGGGGCATGACTGGGGAGTGAGTGTCCACTGCCCCTTTATGCCCAATAAGCAATGAGGGCTGAGGCTTTCTCAAAACTGTCAGGAAAACAGCCAGACCTGGGCCTCCTAATGCATGTGAGTCTTAGAGGAAGACATACACATACTATTTTACTGCCTTGGACCAACATTCTATTTAATATCTAATTATTCTTTTAGTATTTATTTTTTTACTTTATTTTTATTTTTTAAACTTTTACTTAATGAATATAAATTTCCAAAGTAAAGCTATGGATTACAATGGCTTCCCCCCCTTAACGTCCCTCCCTCTGCCACCCTCCGCTTTCCCACTCCCCCTCCCCTTCCATTGACATCAAGATTCGTTTTCTATTCTCTTTATATACAGAAGATCAGTTTAGCATACATTAAGTAAAGATTTCAACAGTTTGCTCCCACACAGAAACATAAAGTGAAAAATACTGTTTGAGTACTAGTTATAGCATTAAATCATATTTATTAATATTTAAGTGGCAGAGACAGACAAAGAGATACATAGAACTTCCATCTATTGTTCACTCCCCAAATGCTCACAACAGCTGGTTATGGCTCTGGCTTAAGCCTGGATCTAAAAACTCAACCCAGTTCCAAACATGGGTTGCAGGAACCCCACTGCTTAAGCTCTCACCTGCTACCCCACAGTGTGTGCATTAGCAGGAGGTGGGAATTGGAACTGGGGCTGTGACTGTAACCCACACACTCTGCTCAAGGATGCAGGCCTCTCACTGGGCTCCCTTGCTGAGGGGCATGACTGGGGAGTGAGTGTCCATTGCCCCTTCATGCCCACTGGGCAATGCAGCCTGAGGCTCTCTCCTCAGGACAGTCTTTGTTTCATTTGAATGGCAAAATGAGACAAGGACAGAGAAGGAGATAATTTCCATTGACTGAATCACTCCCCAAACGCCCATAAGAGCCAGGCTGAGCCAGACAAACCCAGGAATTCCCATGTAGGTAGTGGAGACAGAAATACCTGAGCCATTCTGTGCTTTACCTCAGGGTGCACGTTAGCAAGAAGCAGACAATGGAAGTAGAGCTAGGGCTCAAATCCAGGCACTCAGTTATGGGTTGCCCGCATCCCAAGTGGCATCTTAACTGCTGCGCAAAACATCTTCTCTTGGGACCAGCATCTTAAAGACTGATTATACAGGTTGATGTCTTTCTCATAGGTTCTTTTTTATTTTTATTGCTTTTTAAATTTTGCTTAAGGTATACACATTTCATATATACAGATTTAGGAACATAGTGATACTTCCTAGCCTGCCCTCCCTCCAACCCATACTCCCACACTTCCTCTTCCTTCTTCTCCTAATCCTTTTCTTAATTTTTACAATAATCTACAGTTTACTTTATATTCATAACATTGTATTTCAACCAATAATAAGAAAAAAAACCTGTTCCTCAACAGTAAATACAAGGGCTGTAAACAATTGTTGAAGTTCAAAATTTCAATTTGTTTTCTATACATTGCATTTTTGGTACTCTATTACCGCAGATCAGGGAAAACATGTATTTGTCTTTTCTGGGACTAGCTTATTTCACTAAGTATAGTGGTTTCAAGTTGCATCCATTTTGTTGCAAATGACAGAATTTCATCCTGTATTACAGATGAATAGTTCTCCATAGTGGATATTTACTATAATTTCTTTATCCAGTCATCAGTTGATGGACATCTGGTTGGTTCGCTGTCTTATTGTTAATTGAGCTGCAATAAACATAAGGTACAGATAATTCTTACATATGCTGATTTCATTTCATTTGAGTAAATTCCCAGCAGTGGGGTTGCTAGGTCATAAGGCATATCTGTTTTCCGCTCTCTGAGGTATCTCCATACTGACTTTCACATGGCTGTACTAGTTTACATTCCCACCAAGAGATTAGGGAACATTTTTCCCTACATCCTCACCAGCACTTACTGTTTGTTCATTTCTGTAGGGGTACCATTCTAACAGAGCTGAGGTAAAGCCTCATTGTGGTTTCGCATTTCCCTGAATGCTAGTGATCCTGAGCATATTTTTCATGTGTCTGTTGGCCATTTGAGTTTCCTCTCTTGAAAAATGCATGTTCAAGTTCTTTGACCATTTCTCAACTGGATTGCTTTATTGTTGAGAGGTTCTTGAGCTCTGTGTAGATTCTGGGTATTAATCCTTTATCAGTTTCATAGTTTGCAAATATTTTCTTCCATTCTATAAGTTCCCTCTTCACTTTGTTGTTTCTTCTGCAGTGGAGAAGCTTCTCAGCTTGATGCAATCCCATTTGTCTATTTGGCTGTGATTGCCTGTGCTGTTGTTGAGCACTTTAGAGACTAAAGAGTACTTTTGACGTTCTGGAAGCACCACAAGGTTGCATATATATTTTTCTTCTTCCCAGCATGTTACACAACCCATAAACCATCTGCTCTCAGCCAAATGTTCCTACAGAAGAACTGCCAGATGGACAGATGTTTCTCTGTATTGTGTAGTTACACAGTGTCTATCGTACTGCTCCATGGTGTATCCATGATCATATAGTCCAAAGGAGGAACCATGGTTTCCCTTCTTCCCACACAATCTATGATGTCACAGACAGTGTTAGCCATTCTTTGTCCAGACTGGCTTCCCACTGGCTTCTGGTGTTTCCTCATCAAGTAAGTACTCATTTCCCATCAGAATGTATTTTCTTTAGGAAATGTGGAGAATGATGAAAGCCACGAGAGTCTCAGACATGAGAGAGGTGAGATTCTTGTGTCTAGATGTCTAG